GTTTTAATTTCATGACGATTTCGAATTAAAGAATTTTTTGTCCTTTTTGTCTCTGTTTTAAAACTATAAATATTTATTTAAAAAATAACGGCATAATACATAAATATTTACAATTTAATAATAAAAACTCTTACATGGAAAAACTCTTAGAAGAAAAATTAGGAAAATAAATTTCTTAATTCCCAAAGAACAATGTTTATTTAAAAACTAAATTAATATTCACCGTAATCGTCATTTGTTATTAATTCATAAATACTTAACGGGGAGAAAAAAAATACTGTGCACATTTCGATATACATTTAATTGTAAAAAAGGTAATGCTTCATAACGAAAAAAAAAAGTTACTTCATAAATTAGGCAAAGTGGCAAAACTAAAACAAATTCATATGTTTACGGTACAAATTCAAATTCCTATGAATAGAAAAGTATTACAATTATTATTTTCTATGTTTTCCTATTCTACGCTCTATTAAGTACCTGAAAACAATGTTCAAAAAAAAAAAAAAAAAAAACCAAAAAAGGCTCAAAACTTAACAGTACTCTTATGCAAGTTTAATATTTAATATACAGCTAATCTAGCAAAAAAAGAAAAAAAGGAAAGACAATCTCGATATATGAAAATAAATAAGAGATAGTACAGAACAAATGTGGAGAACGCAGCAATTTGTTACTAGGAATTCAACGTTTCGTTAAATTAAAATAATTAATAAATTAATAAAAACAATAACGGAATAAATGCTCCAATAGCTATATATAAAAGCAATCTAGAATCGTCCATCGAATATGGGTCCGGTTGTCTCGAACCATTGGTGATTTACGCGCTGAAGGTACTTTTGGGAAGAAGATATTTTCTGATTTTAAATCCATGTGAACTAAATCATTGGAATGTATATAACGTAGTCTTTAGGCTGCATGTAATAGTAAAAGTTTCAGTTCAGATTCTACCAACGAACGTTCCTGCAAGAGATTGCAAGCTATCGCCATTGAATAATAGCGTGGGCTTCATTCAAAGCACGTTTTCTGAAAAGAAACAAGGACACCGTGTAAAAACGGATATTTTTTCCTTTATTGCTCATACTTATTCGAACGATCCAATACTTTAATTAATTGCGTAAATTATCCTTGTCGCAGTAAATGCTAAGGAGAAGAGAATTTGTTTGAGATGCTTTGAATCAAATAATCGATGTAACGAAAACAGGTTTTCAATATGATGTGAGTTTTTTCCCGAAATTTGTTTCCTGTTTGTTATCGTTTCTTATTAGTGCTAGAAGTGTAAGAAATCAATGACCGATTAAATTGATTAGAAAAATGTAACAACTTAATAAAAACAATTCCAAGGAGTCTAATATTTCATAATATGATAAAAATAAATAAAAGCCTTTTAATTTGTCTTATTTTGATATCAATATTTTTGAAATGCTTATGTTCGAATGGCGATAAAACCGTATTTTTTAAGCAATGTCGTCAAAACTGCGAAAGACAAAATTGTTCAGCTGGTAAAAGAACTGGTTAATTGAGTTGAAATGAAGAGATCATGGTTTTTATTCCAGATGGAATTAAGTTCCAAGAGCAGGCGATAAAGTATTATCAACAGACTTTATTTGATAAATTGTTTTTATGGAATTGTGTAGACGAATGTCAGTATGGTTGCATGTGGAGAACCGTTGAAGTCTTTAAAGAGCGCGGATGGGCAGTTCCACAATTTTATGGCAAAGTAAGAGCTTGTTCTTAGCGAAAATTTAATAAATTAAATAAAGAAACTTGTGCAGTGGCCGTTTATACGTTTTATGGGACTACAAGAACCGGCCTCAGTATACTTTTCCATTTTAAATTTTGTTGCCCATGTTCGCAACATTAAACGATTCCGAAGAGAAGTAAGACCGGATAGTCCTTGCTATAAGTTATGGCATTTGTTTGCATTTGTAAGTATCGACGTAAATGAGGGAGATCTTTTCTTATATTTAATAAAAAATACTTATTGAAGGTATGTTTAAATGGCTGGTTATGGTCTATAATATTTCATGCGAGAGATTTACCTTTAACAGAACTATTGGATTATGCATTTGCTTATTCTATGGTTTTAGTCGTACTCTACTGCATGCTGCTCAGAATGCTGCATCGAAAATCTATATTATTAAGAGGTTTTATTTCTCTGGGTGTATTATCTTATTATATAAACTACTTCGCTTATTTGAGCGCGGGAAAATTTAGTTATTCTACTAACATGGTGGCAAACGTGGTAACAGGTAAATTTTAATTAAACCATACAAAGGTATTATATTATTCTTATTTTTCCTAGGTGTTTTGGGAGGCTTAGGCTCGATTCTCTGGTCTTTCCGTGTGCGACATTACCGTCCGTATTATCGTAAAATACAGACTTTCTTTTTATTAATGGGATTAACTATGAGTTTGGAACTTTTAGATCTTCGTCCAATTTTATGGATTATTGACGCTCATGCTTTATGGCATTTGTCAACCGCCTTCCTTGACCCATTATTTTACAGTTTTGTCATTGAAGACTGTAAAATGTTGCGCACGGAACATAAGGACAAGGCGTTTATTTTTGACAAAGAAATTTAATTGAACGTAAAATATATTAAAAAACTACAATTATGTTGGTACATAAAAAACAGTCTACATTTGACCACATTGTGATATTTTTACCGGTAGCTTGGGCTTATTATTAGGTCCTGTAGGGACATTTTCAATTTTGCGCCATATTAATAAGCCATCCAAAACAGATATGTTCAATTTTGGTAAAAAACAACTCTTACCACATCAGCTGATTTTTGTTATACTGTATGCAAAATTGACCAAAAAAGCATAGCTTGCAACCAAAAAGTATAGCTTGCAACCAAAAAGTATAGATTGCGGCCAAAAAAGTAAAGATTGCGACCAAAAAAGTATAGCTTGCAACCAAAAAGTATAGATTGCGACCAAAATAATTAATGTTTAATTAGAGAAAGAAACACACAGAGAAGAGATAGACAGGAATGAAACGTAACGTAAACAAAAGCATAAACAAAATAAAAATGTTGCAGGCACAAATTTTCTGAGCTTTTGTTTATTTTCATCGAAATTTCTGTAGCTTTTGTTTAGATTCATCGAAATTTCTACAGCTTTTGTTTAAATACGAATCGTTTCTTGCACTTGCAAATGGATGAAAAGAAGTTGAATGTTTTTATTGAAACTTTTTTTAAGAAATAATTTCCTATGTAAAAGCTTGAGAAGCGCTAGCGCATAATTCATGATAATGAGTGTTTTTTAACAAACAATTAAATTTATTTCATCGTAATTAATGTGCAACATTTTTTAAAAAGCTTTTAATAGACTACATTTATCTAATACTAGACGTTGAAACTTGACTAAAGGCTCCAAGTGTTTATTGCCCTTATTTATGAATTTAATTTCTTTTTCAATTAGTATAGCTGGCGCGAAATCGATAGAAATCGAAAAATGTGTCACCGTCTGTCACGTATATGGTATGAGCCACAACTCGTTTTAGTACCAAACCTTTGCAGTTCGATTGTACGCGGCTTTCAAATTTTTCTAAAACGTTTTTTATAATGTTGCTTATCCACATTTGTAATGCAGTTTGTTTTAGAGGCTTTCTTCTTCCCCATTTCTCGTTAAAAAGTTGATTAAAGTACTAATATCAAATCCATATTCAAGGGTGGCTAATTGCCACCATAACGTATTCTCACAATTCCTGGTTGGTATAAAAAAAATGCAAATATCTTCACAGGATCGAAAGTTATAGATGAAAATAAGTATCTTTGTTCGACGTGGTTTTAGTTTCTCGCTTAGAGTGGACGTACATATAGATAGATCGCAACCATTTTTATACCCTACTTATGGCTCACGGTGTGCTAAGTTAGCGCGGGTGTAGACCCACCTTTTATTACGCCGATTGGTTCAGAATCTGATAATATTCTGTCCGGTAGCAAATTTTCGAGATATTTTGATGATATTGGACACCGTAACTGCAACGCTTTGATCCAAGGACGAACGGTATTGAAAATAGCTCAAATCGGCTCACTTTTTCGACCAGCTCTCATATAACACGCTATTCGGAAAACTCGTTATATGGAAAAAAATTGCAATTTTCAAAATTTCTCCGCAAAAGTGACTACTAACATTGAAAGTGAAGTACTAACATTTCGGCGTTATAAATTGGTATGAAAACTTTGGACGGGCTGGGGCAATTTTTGGACACCCTCACATAATGAAAACTGAAGTTCGCATGGCAAAATGATATTATTTTCAATGCTTCACGATAAACTTACTTAACATAAAAAATGAACTGTACCAATTTTGGACCGTCTCGACTTATTTTCTGGATAAGAATTGTATTAGACGATGCTGTGTAAGGCAATTAATGGCCGGCTTTACCCGAATATAACATTTTTATCTGTTTTGACATTGGATTCTTAATCGATCAACCAATGTTTATACCAAATTTCAATTTCCTATCTTTATTTATTTGTACTACTGTGCTAAGTCGAAAAAAATAGGGGAACATAATTATCCTTTTTGATAGAAATAATTAGGACCGGAATGAAAAACATTGATTATAGATATTTGAAGGTCTTTTTGTATAAGCAAAAAGGTACAAAAAAATTTGGAACAAAAAGAAGCAAAGTAACATACTCGGTTCTAGGGCTAAAATTGGGTCTCGAAGTACAATTTAGAATCGATTTCTAGTGCATTTGAATTATTCTATTATTTGAATCTTTCGACTTTTCAAATTAATTTATGATCTTTTGATTTCTTTCTTTATTAAAATGTAAATGATAAGAAGCGAAATAAAATACAATTTATGTACAAAAAAAGGTAAATAAATATTTAAGGAAGCTGAAAGTTCTGATTTTTCGTAAAGTTAAAGTTTGCAAATGAAGCAATAAAACTTTTGATCGAATTTGATTTCACGTACTTTGTCATAATAGCTTTTTTTATTAGATATTAGTTGCAATGCTTTGATTTTAATGTATTGAGTATTGATTAGCAAGTGGTGTACAGTAAAAGCTCCTTATTTACTAAATTGTAAATATTTATGTATTATGCCGTTATTTTTTAAATAAATATTTATAGTATTAAAACAGAGACAAAAGGACAAAAAATTCTTTAATTCGAAATCGTCATGAAATTAAAAC